CCCGCCCCCCTGCCTCTGGAGAACGCCGCCATCCTGTCGGAGGGCTCCCTGCAAGAGGGGCACCGGCTGTGGATCGGGAACCTGGACCCCAAGATCACCGAGTAAGTCCCCGGCCACAGAGCGGCGCCTCCCCAGCCGCCCGGCCCTCTGACCCTCCTTCCGCAGGGGGGGTGGCCCCGCCATGATTCCTGGCGATACTGGGTCATTGAGGCGCTGCTCATCCTCAGAGCCTTGCCCGCCGCCTTTTGCCACGCGCCTGTGGCTAATCTTTAACACGAGCGTTAATATACTGTGCTTAAAACAGCCCCTGTTTCCTGCATGGCCTCCAGTCCCACCCTGTTCCTGCGAGTGGTCAGTAGAAGTGTCTAGCTGCTGCTGCTGCTGAAGATTTGCCTAAGGATGCTTTAGCAATCGTCTCTAAAGCTGCTAATACTGTATACGGAGTCAGATTGAACGGCCATCGGACTGTATCAGAGTTGTATGCCTAGCCTAGACCGTGTTTACATTAGCATCCCAAGGAAAGCAGAACGAGTGCTTGTTTGGGACGATTAAAACTAGGAGTGACGTATCAGAGGGGTCGCCGTGTTAGTCTGAATCTGCAAAAGCGACGAGGAGTCCTGTGGCACCTTATAGACTAACTGAAGTGTAGGAGCAGAAGCTTTCGTGGGCAAAGACCCACTTCGTCAGATGCATGTGGTAGGTAGTATATAATGACTAATGGCAATCAGAAAGATGGACCATCCAGTGAAAGGGCTAGCCTAGGATCCATGAGCTGAAGAAGCCTTCACCTGACTCCCAGTTGATTTTACTCACTACTCAGGGCTGGATTACCCAATAGGCAGACGGAGCAAATGCTTAGGGCACCAGCAAAGCAGGGGCACCAAAAAAAGAGATTTGACAGTATAGTATTGTTTTTATTTTGAATTACATGGGGGGGGCACCATAATCTTTTCAGAGCTTAGGGTTTCTAGCAGGGACACAGAAAAAAAGAAGAGATTTTATGGTATAGTATTGTTTTTATTTTGAATTACATAAGGGGGAGGTGCACCATAATCTTTTCAGTGCTTAGTGCCTCTAAAGGTCTTAATCAGGCCCTGTCACCACTACCCACTGTATACTGAAGTGTTAAACTTACTACTTTTAATTTCACTTGGAAGTAAAATATTGGAGAACATTTAAGATTTATAAATGTACAGTAGATAAGTCCTCCTGGCCCTTTTAGGGAAGAGAAGGATACTAAAGTGTTGTCATTTATGGCATCAGCATGGTATTTTCAGTAGTGTAAGGAGGGCCTTTTCTGTTTTGTGATTCAATATGTAAGTGATCTAGAAGATAATATAATGGATTAGAACAATGGTTTTCACCTTTCTCATCTGTGGACCCCAGATTGCTCTAACTCAGTGGTTTTCAATAGTGTGTTTAGCCTGAATTGCTGATTTGTTTTCATCTGGATATCCCTGGGTGCCAGGATAGTACTTGAGTATTACCATGGTTCAGTACCTTCTAGAGAAATAGTAAGAAAGGGTTCCAGAAGTGGACAGCAGATACAGAGAACAGCTCCTGCTCTACAGTTATCATAAGAGAGAATTCATGTGGCCACAGTGTTAGTGCATTTTATGAGATGTTTCCATGAGTCACTTTTCAGACTAGAAATCTGGAGATGAAAAGAGCCCTTTTATTTTCTAAAATGTGTTCAGTAACTTGAGACTTATTGGGACACTTTGCAGAAAGATCCCAGTGGATATTTTACTATCTTGTCCTTGTCAGTTAACTGAACAGCTGCTACAAAGAATATAGTATGACCCTAATCTCTTAAATTTTGCTGTCACATTATTTGTGTAAGCATCACACTTCCCTGGCCTTGGAATGATTAAATGCAAATTAAATATTATGCTAACACATCTGAACAGTTGAAGTGTACAGTTAAAATCTCAGGGATGTAGGTGGATTGCTGTAAAAATATGAGATGCTAGTTGTACAGCACACTAAAAATCTTAGGCATTTTTTATAGATCAAAGGTTTACACACTTCAAGTAAATAGGATAGTCTGGGGGGGGAACCTATGTGTCTCAGTCCTGGAACCAATTTTTGTTCTGCTCCTTATGTTTTTGCAAGTGATCCATTTTTGCTCTGAGTGCAGTTGCTTTTAACAGAGCAGTGTTCTAATAGTGTCTCTAAGTGGAGACCATCATTAATGTAATATCCTCTTCAATCGTTCAGCTCTAGGCTACTGCCACCTCTTTTGCATTAATTACCATTTTTGCCCCACAGTTGTATTTCTTTGGTTTGTCTGCATTCAATAATTGCACGAGATGATGTGATTAGATATATGGCCTCTTGGAAATATTTGTTTGTAAAGTCCTTGGGGATTCAGGATGCAGGGTCAGCGTGAGGGAAGAAGTATAGTATGCTTGTTAAATAGATTGGCTGTATAACTTCCTCTGACATTCCTTCCTGCAGTGTTCTTACATCTTGTTTTAAGATGTTTTGTTAGAGCCTCTTATTGTAGATCATCACTTCAAATCCAGCCTATCTTAAAAATGACTGAATGTTGTTACCATCTGGCAGCTCTTAGGTGTCCTGTGTGAAATTAGTTTGGTGTGTTACAGTCTCAGTTCACTTCCTTCTGGTGATCAGGTGTTCACCCCCCCTACCCCCCAAAAAAGCACTGTTACTTTTGCATTAATTGGTCCACTTGTTGATAATCTCATCTGAGGCAGAAGGCTGAATTCCACTTTCACCCTCGGCAGTGGTCCCTCTCTAAAAGGATTGAAACATTGGTGAGTAGTTGTGGGTGACTCTGGCATAGCTGCTACTCATTCTATACTTGTGCTGAGGTTTTTTCCCAACACTAAAGATAGTCACTAAAAAAATTCCTCGTTATTGGCAATATATGTTTTTAAACTAATCAAGTTCATTTAAAGTTTTGTAATTCTGTGTTAAGATCTATGTGTATTCTAGTGTTAGCATAAAAAAGGTAGGAGAGTATTCTGTTTTCATTGACAGTGAAAGAGGAAAAGTACTGTAGTTCCTCCTGTAATCCAGGGTATTGTTGCTGTAAATTCAGGGATTGCTAGTTTTTTTGCTGAGTGGTATGGTAAAGATGTAATCATTTCAGCAGAGGACGAAACCATGTACAGGCTTTAAACAGCCTTTCAGTTTACTTCTCTGCAGCTCCCCGTTCCACTTTGAGTAAAGAAACTGAATCTTTAATCATGGCACTACACTAAATGTTTACATATCAGAAGAGATCTCTTGGCTCCTGCCTTTTCTTGATCACCTCTGTGTCTATTTGCTTTTTCTTGCCTTTCATTGGGATCTTAGTTATGCTTACCAATCAGGGAAACAAGCACATCTAAAAACTAAATGACAATCTTTGTTTGCAGCAGATCTCAATTTTTTTCAGGGAACTGCCTACTGGAATTTTTACATTCCCTCTTTTTGTAATTGAGTAAAGTTTCTTGATGCTAATATTGTGATTCCCTCAAAAAGAACAGGGTTTATATTTATTTATTTAAATGGATGTCCCAACACTGAACTTAGTATTGAAACCCTTTAAAAGCAATCCATAGCCACAAACTGGGTGCTGTAAAGCCAGTAGAAAATGTGCAAGTTTGAGCACAAATCTCACAGTACAGTTATGAATATTAAAAAGTGGGAACTTAAGCGTAGGGAGTGTTGCTTCCTGCATATTACTTAACCACTAGTATGTGGATTTCAGGAGACTATTTCCTATCTAAAAATTATCAGAATGGCAGATACCATGGCAGTGATTCTATTGTGGATTTCTCTTTTTTTCATTATATGTACTGTGGCTTAATAGAGAGATTTCCATGGGCATGCCCTCTCCCAGTTATATTTGCACAGACCTCTCTTTGTAATCTCAAATGTTTATATGGAAAAATAGTATTAGGAAGCATCTAATGCAGGGTAGCAGCTAGAAAGAGGGTAAGCCAGCACATGTTGGGTGGGTAGATTGTTCCTAAAGAGAGGTTGAGTATCACTGGTTGATAACTGTACATGTTCACTTGCAGTTAAATGTTGCCTTTATGTTCAATTTGGTGATTGTTTGCAAACCAAGAGGCTGCACTATCACATTTATTTAAGACAGGGGTGGGGACCCAAGAAAAATCAGTCAGGAGCTGCCACACACCAGAGACTAGGGGGGCCCAGGCTAGTAGATTTTGAGTGCTCCAGCCCCACAGTGGGGCAGCTGAGGGGCTTAAGTGCCAGCATGGGCTCCCCAGTGCTGGGGGCAGTCCCTGAGACTAGGGGGCAGGATCCAGGCAAGCCAGGGGCTGCATCCAGTCCCTGGGCCTGAGGTTTCCCACCCCAAATTTAAGCAAGTATATATTTTCACATGCATTTATTCAGGTCTTAAATTCTCCTCATCTTTTGTTAGAAAATAGAGAGTGATACATTTTTTTGTTCACCAGAGTATGACGAATACTTATGATTTGTATCAAACTGTATTTGGACGAACATTGGAATTCAGTAAAATGCACAAATAGGGCCTTTTAAATTGTTTAGTTAAAACTTTCTCAATTTTGAGGCATACATAAGAAAAATACATCAAAACACTTTGTTTTAAAGCTGATTAATTATATAAAGTATCTATAGTTTGTGAACTCACCTGATAGTTTCTAGTCACCAGGTCCTTTAAGATATTAGAACTAGTAGCTCTCATCCTCTCATTTCACTTTTATTCTCTTCCAATTTAAGCAGCTGTCCTGCTTTTTCAGCTCACAATCGGTTTCTTAACTTTAAAAGGCCTAGTCATTGAAGTAAACTAGTAAAATAAACTGAAATTAAATATTCTGCAGGTGCAGAAGAGAATATTGCTGTCAAAAGCAGGTTTAGCACTTCAACAAACTCAGATTGTGGGTGATTAGCCAGAAACGTCTACCAGTTCAGTGGTTTGACTTTCTTTAAACTTTGGCAGCAAACATGTACTGCTTAAACACTGTTTTTATTTATACAGTCCCTCCCCGAGTTATGAACAAGTTACAGACCAGCACTTGGTCCATAACTCGAAGTGTTCGTAACTCAGATCCCATAGAGTTACATGGCGACCGCACTGCACTGTTCGTAAGCGCAGATCACCCTTCGTAATTCGCTTTGGTCGTAAGTCCGGATGGTCGTAAGTGGAGGTGGTCGTAACTCAGGGAGTGGCTGTATTATTTTAATAGATTATAGTAAATGTAGGCCTTTAATACAGACTGTCAAACTTCAACATTAATTTTAAATTGGTTTATTTTTAAAAAGACAAATATGATTACATTAAACCAATCTGGTTTTAAAAAGCCCTTTTTTCTCCACTTTGTCACCTGACCAGACATCTGTGTATGACTACTTAGCAAGTCCTCCAGAGACCATCTATTGTTCACAGACCACAATTTGCAAACTTCTGTTCTAGGAGTTAGTGGAGTACTAGGTGTTAAGACACCTGGATTCTGTTCTCTGCCACTAACCTGCTGTGATGTGATACTTAATCTTTCTGTGTCTTTCTTTATTCATTTTTTTTAAAGTGCCTTCCTTACAGCAATTGAGGCTAATTGTGTCTAAATCATTCTGAGATAATTACTTGAAGAATATTTTCAAAAAGCAAATATTGTATTTACGATGTTACTTTGTTACACGTGTATTGACTTCCATTTTCTTAGTAGCCAAGGAATGACTCTGTGTGTAAGCGTCCATACAGGTTGGACCTCTCTGTCCCAGCACCCTCGGGAGCTGACTGGTCCCGAATGAGGGAATTTGCTGGACCAGAGGAGATCCCCTGCTCCCCAGACCACTTGCTCCCCACATTACCTTCGTGCCCCGCTGCCAGCCCCAGCCACCCACCCGCTTCCCCACCGGGTTGCCATGCTGCTGCGGCTCTGTGTGTAAGCGTCCATACAGGTTGGACCTCTCTGTCCCAGCACCCTCGGGAGCTGACTGGTCCCGAATGAGGGAATTTGCTGGACCAGAGGAGATCCCCTGCTCCCCAGACCACTTGCTCCCCACATTACCTTCGTGCCCCGCTGCCAGCCCCAGCCACCCACCCGCTTCCCCACCGGGTTGCCATGCTGCTGCGGCTCCT